AGATGCTGAAAGGCAGGGCTTTAGCCAGGAAAAGCCAGGAAGCTGTGGTACCTGCAAGGAAAGGCTTGGTGTTAGGCTTGTTTAATGATATGTATAACGAAATTGCATCAGTGAATGGAAGGGGGAATGATAAGAAACTAGATACCCAGATGTAGATCACTTAGCATTACCATGAAATGTACTGTATGTGTAACCTACCCAGTACATCATACTTAAGTGGAAGAGTAAAAACCAAGGCACCTGTATCGTTTTAGGAGAATCACCAAAAAATCGTGCAAACTTTGTTGCAAAAACAACGGTAAAGATAGACAAATTAAAAGTGGGAAGTTAAAAAAAAAAAAAAAAGAAAGGCAAGACAAGAAGTGGGGCCTCCATGCTGGACTACATCATACTGTTTTTTAATGTAGACCTGAAGAAAGCAGGTCTAAGACAGCAAATGAAAGATGGCGAGATCATAATTTTTCAGCTTTGGTAATTACAGTAGTCCTGGTATGCAATCGTAAAGATCCTTCAGTTAGTAATATCTACTAATTTTAGGAGTGCTTTAAATTAACTCAAATTTGTCTTCCTGTCCCAGCTCTGAAATAAGCTACAGCCAACAGCTGTCAAGCAGCAAGAAGGCTTTGTTTCCCTCTTATACGTCTCACTTACTAATTATATTCTAGTTATATTTGGATTTGTTTTTAAAGGCTAACACCCATAGCTATATTTAATTACTTTGGAATTAAATAAGCACATATAAAAAAAAAAGTATTTGTTGCTCTGGGGGAGTGTGCTGAAACTTTTCTGCAGTCATTAATTCAGAAGAGAGAGAAATGAATTGGAGGCCACTAGGAAAAATAATTCAGGTCTCAGAAATGAAGCTGCATCTGCAAAGCCCGTCACCATACCATAGACTGAGCATAGGATTGATAATATTGTCAGATACTCTCTAGTATCAATGATTTAGTAGATTTTACTACTGCCATTCTTAATTATACCTCTTCCTCTTTAAATAATAAAAAAAAAAAGGAATGCTTTAACTTCATTTGACAGGCTCCGTTTTCACTTTGTCACAACAGAAAAGTAGTTGCTGATAGTAAAGCCAAACAGGCATCAGAAGAAGGTGCAGGCATTTTCATGGTAAATTACTAACAGCAGCTTATAAGTTTAGTTTAAGTGGTTCATGAGCCCTGACACTAATGCTTGGTTTGAGGAATGCCAGTCAAAGGATTATGTTTGCAAATATTTTCCCTTAAAATGACAAAATTAATTTTAAAAGTTTTTAAAAAACCCTAAAGTTCCACCTTGCCTTGAGTACCAAGCAGTGCTCCTGTGAGGCTAACTGGACAAACAAGTAGCAGCCGACAGCCCGTGATGGACTGTGCAAGCAACACCAGGGTTTGTTCTACAGCAGCCTGGTCAAATGCTTTGTTTTATTTCATAGCTAGATGCATCACTTTTGCACTTCATGTCATCTGCTACATGGGGACATTTAATTCAGTAGAGCATTGACCAAGCTTATTAGCCCTGGATACATCAGGGATTCTGAAAACAAGAGAGAGAACACCTAGACTGAGGGATGTGAAACAGCCCTGGGGCATTCTTGGCAGTTGTGCTAACTTAAGCAGTTGCTGCCACATTAGTCTCCCCTGTTATGTTTCACCAGGACAGCTGTTTGTAGGGTCATAAAATGACCGAAGGGTAGGTCTTGATGTGTCTCAAAAACTAACCAAGCAAAGAGACAGTGCTTCTGACTCAGTTCTCATGCAATCCCACAGAAGGTTACAGCAGCTAAACTGAGTTGCTGGTATGGGGTCAAGAACAGTCTAAACAGATTGTGCCACCAGGAGAGACGTATGTTACGCTACTACCTCTG